AGCATGTCTTTTAAACACAATATCCTCAGAGCTGTTTTGCCACTTGAGCCCTGGCTCCTTGCTCCCTGTCACTTTATTTTTGCCTCTCCTGGCTTGATTATTGATGAGAGCAATTTACAGTCCATGCTGCTTTATTTATCAGGAGCAAACTAGGAGTGCAAGAGAGAAAAGTATTCCCATTCTCTCTGCAGGACACTGAGCAATGTGCTTCCAAATCTCTGCACACCTGTGCTGTCACTGATTCGTGTTTCTACTCTGTCATTTGCATCCAAAATGACTGTGACCCTTTGGGCTGCAGCTGGGCTCCATGTTCCTGCCATGGAACATGTTCCCAGTCTGTGTCTGTCACTGCTCCTTAATGAAAAAACTGAACATCTCTTCTCTTGCAAGCTCCTCTAATGGTTATGTTTGCACTTGTAGTGTTGCTGACTGATTTTTTTGTTCAGACTGTGATAAATAAGAATGAAGCATTCAGAACAGATCTCTACCTAGTGATGTCAATACATTTTTGGAAAGTTAAGTTGTGCCTCATAACATCCCTGCGATCTGCTTTCTCCTGTGAGGGAAATCGAGGCAAGCAGAGGCAACCAAGGAAACTGAGAGTGTTAATGCTGGAAGCTTTAGAACTCTCAGGCTAGAATTTTGAGTTATTGAGAAAATTAATGGCTAATTAAAGATTTATTTTTTTTTATATAGTTAGATTAGTAGCAGACATTTCACAAAGCAGTGCTATAAACATCTGTTCCAGCTGCCTTACCAAATCCAGCTGGATAATGCAGACTCATGCCTGTCTTCAGTTTGAGAAAATATACTTGACAAAGATTTCATTTTTGGATGAGGTTTCTGTAAATATTAAAAGACTTAGCAGATTAATAGGACTTCACAATGGGTCCAGAACTCTTCTACTTCATGGATACAAGTACTGCCTTTGTATCCACAGCAGCAGCCTCTGAAAATGGATGACAGATCTCAGTGTGATTGTCAATTACATGTTTATGCTCTGTTTGACAGATAATGTTTTCATGGTGATTTCCTCATAATTAGATGTAGCAATTAGAATATCTTATATGTTGTGCTGGAATTTTCTTCTTATGCTGCTGTAGCTGGATGGTCTCTCATATACCTGTTCCAGGGCACACTGAGCATGGGAATTAACTCTCCACCACACCAATCTGCTTATTTCTTATGTCTTCCTTTTATTTTTTTTCCCCCTTTGAATAATTTTAATCTCCTGGTATTGGGGAACTCCCAGTGTTTTCCCAGGATATTCCCTATCCCCAGCTGACATCTGCTTGTCTTATGAGTATCTAAGTTATGTTTTTACAGATCTGATTAGCTGGCTTGCTATCCCAGCACCGCCCCTCCTTTATCTCAGAGAACAGGTGCTCTGCTGTGTCCCTTTGGTACCCCAGGAATGCTTTTCATTTCACCAGCAGCACAAAAAAAAGTGGCCAGATATCGTCCTTGTCCTCTTACCATCAGCTTTCCCTGCTCACTGTCCCCGAGCACGTGCTGCAGTGAGGGGAGGGCTCTCAGCAGACATCACTGCAGGGCAGTGTTGGGGCCAGGGGGGATACACAGGACAGAGGCATCGCTGTGTGTCTGCTTTCCATGTGCAGTTATTACACACATAAATGAACTGCAAACACCCACCTCCACAAGCATTTGTGTGTCAGTGCCCGTTTTGTGTGGAAAAGGTGGTGATATTTGCTCATATGAGTTAGATGCACAGTTATGGAAGTTAATTACTGGCTGCACTGGGTCACATACAAATACTTGCAGTCAGTGCCTTCCAGCACAGGGGCAGAACCACAGGGCAGGAGGTCTAAACTCAGCCAGACTAGTGGTTCTCAAAGTCTCATCTCCTCCTTATCTCTGACACTGCCAGAGATGTGCTGCCAGCATCTTAGTGGTGTGCTCCCAGGAAAGGGTCCTGTGTCTGGTGCTGAGCTGGTGGTTTCTCAAAGGCAGAGGGATATGAGTTTCAGGTTACTTCCCACCATCTGGAGTTCAGAAATGCTAAGCTGAGGGTGGGCAAGGACACTGTGAAGCACCTCCAACAGGGAGCAGCTGGGCTGCACTGTCCCTTCTTCACCTGGTGCTAAAGTGATACCCACATCCTCACGGAGCAGCTGGGGAGCAGGAGAGTGTGTGGAAGAAACGGCCACCTGCCCTGAGAGGGAAAGCCTGAGCATCCAGCACTGAATATAAAGTACCATTGGTGCAGCTGCACAGCCAGGCAGCTCCCTGAGGCTTTGTCACTGTGGGCAGAGCTGGCTGAAGGCTTTAGGATGTGAGCTGGGTTGCCCTTTGGCTATAGCATGACTTACTGTGTTCTTTGGGACAGGTTTGGTTTTTCTGTTCTGTCACCTCTCGTCACCTGGCTCCTCCATCTCTGCTGAGAAGTCTCTTGCAGACAAGAAGGGAGGCAGCAAACCCAGGTTTGTGCCTCCTCCGTGGCGTCTCCACTGAGCTTTCTCACCTTCTCATCCAGCTCCTTTGAGTCTTTCCTCACTGCACAAACCAAGTAGGAACTAAATTATATGAAAGACTTCAGTCCCTCTTCCAAACCTGGATGAGATTGGCTGACAAATGAAATGCTGCTGGGGACTGTTCCTCAGTGTTGCTGAGGAAAGACAGACTGACATGGAGGTCAGTGTCCAGAGGAAACTATGCTAAAGAAATAATGTAGTTGTGCAAACATGCCCGTGAAGTTTAGTAACTCTTGGCAACAAAGTGTTGCTGCTGCTCTTTGAGCTTATGATGCTGCCAAGGACTCTCTGTCCCTTGGGGTGTCATGAACGTTGTCCCTCAGGTCCATTCCAGGTGAAAGAAGGAAAATGGGCACATTCCTTGATGGATGTTGAGCTTTTTGGGTTAACTCTGGCCCTGTGTGGGGGCTGTACAACAGGGCCTTTTGTATTTCTGGAACACAAACAACAACTTTCAGTTTATGACAATCTCAGTATGTATCTATTTACATAGGTGGTGAGTCTATAAATGTTTCTCATGAAGCCTCTTTCCAAAGCACATAGAGGACATAAGGCTGTTGCTGTGAATTTCTCCAGCTTTGGGGTTCCTTTCTGAAGTAAATTTAGGCACCTGAATCCAAGATGACCAGCAGTCCTGACACTATTTGGAGCTCTAAAAATGAATATTAGGATTTTTGATGCCATTCCCATTTCTAACTGGGAACCAGGGGAAAGCTCCTGGTGTGGAGGGAATTAACAAAATGCTCATTTGAGTGATGGTCATGACTTGCGTTTTGCCAAGAAGAAACAGATGAAATGCTTTGGGTGGAAAACAATACCCAGCTCAAACTGGCGACAGACTCAGTGCAGTGATCCCCCCCCTCCTTGTGTTCCCTGTCACTCCGAGCATGTCCTTGGAGCGCCGCACAGGGCACTGTGGGGTCCTGCCCGGTGTCCAGCCAGATCTTCAGGGACAGGTGAGTGATTTACCAGCCTGCCTCCCTCGGAGGGGAGGAGAGGGGGCGGCCGAAGGGAGGGAAGAGCGAGCCTGGGGATGCTGAGGCCATGGAGTGCTGCTTTAAACTACGATCCCCAGTTTCATGCCTCAGTTTCTTTTGCTGTGAAAATCGCGGCTCCGAAGGCGGTGAGTGCGAGCTGGGCTGGGCTGGGGGCTGGCGGGACGGGGTGCAGGGGAAGGGGGTGCCCGGGCTGAGCTGCAGCGCCGGGGCCGTCCCGGCTGCGGGGACGGTGTCCCTCATCCTGCACAGCGCCGCGGACGGGGCGGGACCGGGCACCGTGCGGGAAGGACAGAGCATCCTGCCGGAGGGACAGACAGAACGCGGAGCTGTCCGTCCCGGCGGTGCTGAGCGCTGTGGCGGATCCCCCGCCGCCCCGGTAAGTTCCTGTCGGCGGGGAGCGGAGCGGGCGGCGCCGGGGGCTCCTCCAGGAGGGGTGAGAGGGGCCCGGTCGTGGGGGAGCCGCTGCCCCGGGGGGACACGGGTGCCCTGAGCACCGCCGGGCGCGGGGAGGACTCAGTCCCGCGGCTGCTCCGGGTGTCCCTGGCTGCAGCAGGGCAGGGAGCCCGGCCCCGCCGGCCGTGGATGAGCCGGGATGCCGCGGGGACGCTCCCGGGGGTGTCCCGGGACCGGCAGGGGCAGCCCGGGGTGCGAGGCTGCTCCCCACTGGGGCCGCCCCGGGCACGGTGTGTGTGAGTGAGAGACACGCTTGGGGTGTGAATGGGGTTGCACCCCCTCAAAGGACCTTGCAGGAGTGCCGGGTGGGGAACTGAGGCAGAAAGCAGATTTTACTGTCTGTAATCAGCGGGGATGTGCAGCCCTGGCAGAGGAGAACTCTTTGATTTTGGGTAGGGGTGCGAGGGCTGCCTGTCCTTCAGATCATTTGTGTGCTTTTGCTCTTCTGTGACTTTTTAAGCCCTGCACTATTTGCTAGGCAGGCAGCAATGTTTGAGCTTTCCCTGCGCTAGGAATTGCAGAAATTGATTCCTGCCGTTTACTATCAAAGGAGTCTGGAGGTCAGCTCGGTTTCCAGGATCATGAGATTTCCTCCTTCTCCTCTCCAAGGCAGGCATGGCTTTGTGGCATGTTGGCTGAAGAAAAGCAACAGTCCAAGTCTGAAGGGGAAATGGGCAAACCCAACAATCACATGAAATAAACTCTGTGATCTTTCATGTAGACAAAGTGATCAGGACAGTATAGCCATGCCAGTGCCCTCCCTGGAGCCAGACACAGACATGGGATGTAACTTTAGGTTTAGATTTGATTCTTCCTGTGAACACAAGAGTAAGGGCTGGGATGCAGAATACAAGGGTTTCCTGGTAATGTACCTGTGGCAGCAGCTGCTTGGAAAACTTCATCTCATTTTGAAGTCTGATTAAATTGAGGGGAAAGGAGCTTTCATAGTCTGTCTCTTCTCAGAACAGAGTCTGAGCAACGGAGCTTAAATCAAATTCAGCAGCAGCTCTGTATGCCCAGAGACTACGTGGCCAAGCAGTTTGATGTTGAAGGGCTGTGCTGTGCTGTGCTGGCTACCCTGAGGAGACAGTCTCAGCTGAATCGCTCCCCGAGGAGCCGCAGATCCATCTTGACTGAGCACAGTCATGTGTTCGAAATGTTTCTGAGTTGGAAGGAAACTCCTGTAGCTGTTTCTGTCAGAAATTATTGTGAATGTGTTTAATACCTGCACTGATATTTCTGCAGCTTGTCACTCTCCATCCGCTGAAGGTGACGGCCGAGAGGGAGGCCTGTGCAAGCTTCCCCCATCACGTGCTCACCTGAGGGAGCACCTCGGCGGGAGGGGGACCCTTGGGCAGGTTTCCAGCAGGCAAGAACAACCAGAACAGGTTTGTGAATTGCCAGGGAAGCAGGCTACTCACTGTCTTGCTTCCACAAGGAAAAAGACCGTGTAACCACCTCCTGGGGCCAGGTGAGAAGAGGTTCCAACACACCCTTCCCCCGACAAAGGAGCTCAGACAAGTGCACCACCTTTGTGGGTGGGGATGGGTGGAAGGCTTTACAAGCCCCCAGTGAAAGCAGCAGAGGAAAGTCTGAGATTTTTCACTAGTTTCTGTGCTGATTCCAGCTTCACTTGCCTGTCTGCTGCAAAGGCAAGTTTACAGAATCCAGTTTATGATTTACTTTCAGGCACAAAAGTGATAGCTCTCCATGTTTCTATAAACCTCATTTATTGTCTGTGTGTCAATGACATCAGCACATCAATCAGTGCAAGAGGTGCATTTTTATCAGTTCTGTCTTACAGGGAGCGATGTGTGCTTTACAAGTAGCTCAAGCACAACCATAAAAATAAAGCCTATCCCAAGTAATGTCAGAAATAGAAGCTCCTCTCCTGCAGATTATTGTTCCTTTTTGCCAGCTTGATCTCACAGGACACTTGCAGCTCCCCTGATGTATTGCAGGATGGAGACCTGGCAGGGATCTGAAGGAAATAAAGACCTTCAGTCTTGGCCAGTTCTCTCCCTTGCTGCGTGTGTGCCTGCATGCTGAGGAGCAGGAACAGTTCCTTCCAGACTGCTCATGGTGGGCCTTGCCCTGTCTTGTCCCCAGTGCAGCTGTGTGACCACAGTCCCTCCTTTCTCCCTGGCTCCATGTTTATAATGGATGCTTTGCTAGAGCCTCTCAGAGGGATCGTGTGCATGTGCTGTGTTCAGCTCAGATGCTTCCAAGGGCTCTTGAGGAAGATGAAATGTGGCCTAGGGGAGAACTGTGCATTATGAGAATTTCAGGAGTGGTTTGCCCAGCCCTCAATGAAGGTTGTTTCTGATTAGGTTAATGAAGGACATCGTTCTCAGGGCCAGAGTCACCTGGTTTGTGCAGGGAGATATAAATCACCTGTCCCTGTATGTGGACAATCCTTGCCCTCTGAACAGCAGAGGAGAGGAAATGAGGTTATTTCCACTGGGCTGTGCAGCACTGAGCATCCAGGGTGCTCTGCGGAAGAGATGAACCCAGCAGCCCCCTTTCACCACTGGGACTACGCCCTCCTGCCCCCCACCATACATGGGGGGTGCAACCTCCAGCCCCTCCACCTCCTCCTTTCCTGCTGGATTCACTCTCCTCTGCACCAACCTTGCTCCCAGGGCAAGTGGCTCCCCGGGGGCCACCCCGGAGACTGGGACATCTCTGCAACCCTCTGACCCCTCAGCTGGGTCTCACCCAACTTACACCATTGCAGGGCTATCATCACCAGGACCTGCAGTCCCTTCCTTGCAGTCTGTTGCAACAGGGATGGGCAGAGCAACAAGTGGCTCAAACAGAGCTGTAAGTGCCCAAATGTGTGTGTTTATCCCAAAGGCACAGGCTGGTATATCAGTGCACACATCCAAAATGTGCCTGTGGGAGCTCTGCACCATTTTTATCTTCTTGTGGTTGAGGGGAAAGAAAGAGCCACTTTCTCAAAGAATTTTGAAGAGAAACTTAGAAGCTGATGAATAAGTAGCAAAACCTCCTCCCTCCTTCCCTTTCCACATGGTTGGTGCTGCAGGCAGTCGGCTGAGGTTCCACACAGCTGGCCAAGAGCTGTCCTCCCAGAAACCAGGGGAGCTGGGCACTCCTTCATTTGCCAGAATTCACTCTCACTTTTATGTGTATCTTGCTTTGCAGATGGGAAATGTGTCCAACATCTCGGTGTTCACCTCCACCTTATCAGAGAGAGAAGATCTGATTTTTGGCTCACTCTATTTAGTCTTTGGTAAGGAAAGGCCTCTTATCCCTGTGTCCCTGCTGCAGGCAGCCCAGGTGCTGCCTGCCTGCCTGCACACTTTTGAGGAATGTGCTGTAACTCCTACCACAGCTACCCACTGTGAGATGGGCAGGGACTCTGTTGGCATCACCAGCTTCATGTTTGTTGAAGGGGATTTGGGCCTCAAGCTGGCCCTTGTTCTCAGCAGAAGCTGGTGGTGAAGGTTCAGTGATTTGGAGTTAGTGGCACTAAAAAGCCAGAAGGCAAAACTGAGGGGCTGTGCCTTGCTCTGAGGTGGCCCAGACCTGGTTAGTGTGGGCCAGAAGTGAATGATGGGGCAAAGAAAAGCCTCCCAAGTCTTCTAAGCCCTGAGCAAGTTTTCTCCCAAATGCTAGAAGAGGTTTTTTATTTCTGTGAGGATAGGGAACCCAAGGGAGGTTCACATCACTGGACTGACAGCGGTCCTACAGCTGATAAAATGTACTTACCACTGATGTGAGACTCACTCTGTGGGAAAAATGCCTTGTGAGTCTGGGAAGAAGGACAAACATCTCAGCATTCTGCCTTCCAGCAACTCCAAAGCCTCCAAAGCTCTGTATTTGGCAAGGTCCCATGTGAGAATCCTGTTCCTGAGGGGAACTTTAGTGTTGGCCGTTCAGCAGCTTTGGAAGCTGGTTCTTACCATGGGATTTAATTTACAGCCTAATCCATTAGGGAGAAACTCTTATCCTGCCCAAAATGGCTCAAGAGCAGCAAAGATTCCCCTTCTGAGGACACTGAAACCTCTTTTCCATGAAAGCACAATTACGTAATAAAAAAGAGAAAGCCCTTGTTATAAAACTTTAATCACCACTGTTGATTTAAATACACTAATAGCAAACAGAGAGCCTTCTTTTGTTTAGTCTGGATTTTCCTTGATCTTCATAGTTCCTTTCTTCTTGTTTGTTTTGTTACCATGATATTGGACAGCACAGAGTCACAGGAGTGACATTGCCAGGAAGAAATTACAAAGGGGAAGGGGCCCAGTTCCTTGGCCTCACATCAGAGGACAACTGCACAAAGCCCCTGTTATTTATCTAGCTGCAAGGAAGTGCCCCCCTTGCTCCTTCCAGCTGGAAGAAGTGACTTTGGCCAGATCCTGCACCCAGAGCCCATTGCAGTCTCATCCCATCACTACCCTCCTACCAAACGCCTCTGTAGGATCTCAGGAAGGGGAAGGGATCAGATCCAATGCAAAGCAGCTCCAGATGTGCTCACAGAGCTCTGCGGGTCCCGTGGGCTCCCCTGTTCAGCCCAGGGTCCAGAGAGAGAAGCCTGGAGCCCTTTCCAGGCTCTGTGAACTTCTCTGGTATTTGCTTCCAAACGTCTCGAGATGCTCCCTTTCCCCTTCCTGGCTCTGTCACACACAGCACTGTTCCTCTGCCTTCTCCACAGGCATCATGTCCTTCTCTGGGAACTCGCTGCTGCTGCTGGTGGCCTATCAGAAGAGGTCCCTGCTGAAACCTGCCGAGTTCTTCATCGTCAACCTGGCCATCAGTGACCTGAGCATGACGGTGACGCTCTTCCCCTTGGCCACCTCCTCCTTCTTTGCCCACAGGTACCTCATGGAAGCGGCAGGGGGCAGTTTGCAAACCTTGTCTGGAAGTGGGGAGATCCCTCACAGGGTGTGAAGGGGGGCCCAGGCCTCAGCCTGGTGGCACTGGGGCAATGTGTAGCTCCCAATCATCCATCCCACCACGGGTGCTTTGCTGCTCCCTGTCCTTCTGGTTCCTCACACAGACCTGCTGTAAAAGGGGGCTGGTGGAGGGTCTGTCTCCAAGCTGTTACCGTGTGGCACAGACACTGCAGTGGTGTGTGCCAGCGTGGAGCAGGGCAGCTCCTGCACCTGTGGCTCCATCTGTGCTTGTCATTGGGATGCTCAGAGAACAAATTAGCAGTGAGATCATGCCCATGTTTTCTCGGTCAGGTGCTGGTACCCGGGCAGCCCATTGGAGCCCCCCTACATGTGCCCAGCTTTGCTGCTCCTGTGGGACCAGCAGCTGGGAAATTCCCAGCCTCTCTGCAGAGCAGGGACCGTGGAGATGACCCCTGTGGCAGGGCTGTCATCCAGCTGCCCTGGGCAGGGGGAAGGATGGGTTCACTTGCAGCTCTCCTGGCAGGTGGCTGTTCGACCGGGCGGTTTGCACCCTCTACGCCTTCTGTGGGGTCCTGTTCGGGCTGTGCAGCCTCGCCAGCCTGACGGTGCTCAGCACGGTTTGCTGCCTCAAGGTCTGTTACCCAGCATATGGTAAGTGCTGGGATGCGTTACCTGATCCATTCCTACACCCCTCTCTGTCAGCAGAGCCCCCCTTTTTTTTTTTTGTAGTGAGTCAGATCCACCTCTTCTGGAAAAATGTTGCCTTGGGGCAACCTCTTCCCATTCAATGCACTGAACTGTAGAATCACAGAAACAAGTTTAGGTTGGAAAAACTCTTTAAGATCACAGAGCCCAGCTGTTACTCCAGCACTGCCAAGTCCACCACTAAACCATGACCCTGGGTGCCACATCCACACAGCTGTACTAGAGCAGGTTGCAGGTTTTTGAGCATCCATCTCAGACAAGCTCAGAGCAGAGCAGACTCTGCATCTGGGAAGCCACAAATTCTGGCAGAGCAACAAGAGCTGCTTTCCCTGGTCCCTGGTGGGAGAGCCATAAGCCAAATGTATATAATTCACTGAAATAACTGATACAGGAGGGTGGGTTTGCAGTTCTGTAGCTCCTGCCTGTAGCCCCATCCTGTAGCCCTGGATGTCCTCCACAGAGCTAAGGGGAATGTTTGCACTGCAGAGAGCACCTGAGGAAGTGAGGGGACCCAGGGGTGTTCCTTACTCATTCCCTACACAGCTCCTCCTCCAATTTGGGGTTCTTAATTTCCTCAGCTCAGCTGCTAATCCTCCATCTAGCATGCATCTTCAGAATACACTTTGCATTAAAGACCAAAAATAGAAATAAAATGGGAAATCAGAGGTATTAGTTTGACTTGCAGCCCAGCACCCCAGGGTCCATCCTGTCCCCCAACTCACTGCCAGTCTGTCCTGAGCTCGTGGCCACTGCCAGCCACCAGCATGCTTTGTCCCCAGCAGCTCTCAGTGCCTTGAGGGCACGGCTGGAGCAGAGTCATCTTGGTTATGTGCCAGCACAGCAGCTCAGAGGGTGACTAAAAAGGTGGGAGGAAAGATAAAGATGAAAGCTGGCTATTGAAGGGCAGCCCAGGTGCTGGTGGCTTTTACCTGAGCAGCTTCTGCTCTTAATTGGCCTGTGCTGGGCAGTCTGGCACAGGGGGTTTATCTACAGCACAGCCCACCTCCTGTGAGGAAGTGCATAATCGAAATGTGCTTTTAATTGCTTAGTTTCAAAGAAAAATGTTACTTCTACGTATGGCTGAAGAATTAGCACTTTATAGTGAGTTTTAGAAGATCGGAGAGTTTGAGATTTGATGGGGGAGACAGGGGGGACAAAAAGGAAAAAAAAGCCACCTCTGCCAGAGTTTCAGTCTGCAGGGAGGGAAAGGTCCTGGCAGTGGCAGGGTGTGGGGTGGCCCTGAGCAGCTCCTGCCCCGTGTCCCGGGCTCAGGGTTGCAGTCCCCTCTCTCCACCCACCCTCACCCACGAGAAGCCTCGCTCACTGCAGTCCCTGTGCCACAGGGAACAGGTTCTCCCCCAGCCACGCCGCGGTGCTGCTCCTGTGCGTGTGGGTCTACGCCCTGACCTTCGCCACGGCCCCCTTGGCCGAGTGGGGCAGCTACGGCCCCGAGCCCTACGGGACAGCCTGCTGCATCACCTGGGAGACCTCCAGCAGGGAGGCCACGCTCTACATCCTCGCCCTCTTCATCTTCTGCTACCTCCTGCCCTGCCTCCTCATCCTCGCCTCCTACTCGCTGATCCTGTGGACGGTGTGGGTGTCCCGGAGAGCCGTCCAGCAGCACACGTCCCCCCAGCGCAGAGCCCGCAGCCTGCACAGCCTGCTCCTGAAGGTAGGGGGGATCAGGGGGCTGGGGGGCCTCGGGGTGCCCCAACCCCCTGCCCTGTGGGCAGATGAATGCAGCAGGGCCCCTCCTGACGGGTGTCTGCTGTTCCTGATGAATTCTCCAGGTGTTTGTGTCAGTGTGGGTAATAACATATTTCTCATTTGAAGCCATCAGGTGGAGGAGTTTTCACTTAAAATTACATTGGAAAAGATCAGAAAGGAGCTTGCATGAGTCATTGTTCCCCAGAATACAAGCTAATACTATAATTTACCAAGGATATGTCAAAAAAAAAAAAAAAAGAATACCCTTTAAAAAAAAACACAGCACGAAAGAAAACAGCTTGCAAGCCTGGCAAGACTGACAAGCCGTGTCCGATCAGGGGAGGGGGCTGAGCACAGCCTGTTTCCAGGTGTCCCAGTCAACCCACATGCCAGCACACAGATTGCTGGAGGGATTTTCAGTGCTTCCAAGGCCTGCTGGGGTCAATGCTGAGCTGGTCTCAGCAAGGTGTCTGCTGTGGAGGGCTGAGGCAATTCCCAAGTTTCCCAGGTGAGATGGGGTGTGGGTTGCCTGAAATGAGAGCAGGTTTATGCATGAGGTGTGCTGAGTTGCTGCCCTGATGTCTGACATCACAGTGCTCCAGGGTGATAGGTCCAGAGGTCTGAGGGAATGTGAAGATTGTTTGGGGTCCACCTGCCCATGGCTGAGTTTTGGAAGGGGTGTCAGTGTCCTGTGTGTGCCATGGGAGGCTCCTGGCACCGCCACCTCCATCTCCTTCTCTTCCAGCTGAGCGTTGCCGTGTGCCTGGGGTTTCTGGCTGCCTGGACCCCCTATGCCGTGGTTGCCCTGTGGGCACTGCTCGGGGACACCAGCCAGGTGCCAGCACTGGCCTTTGTGCTGTCGGCCGTCTTTGCCAAGTCCTCGACACTCTACAACCCGCTGGTGTACCTGCTCTTCAAGCCCAACTTCCACAAGTTCCTCTCCAAGGACAGGGTTCTCCTCCAGGCCCTCCGTACCCTGCTGTGCTGCAGCTGCCCCAATGCGGCGCTCCAGCCCTTCCCACCCCCGGGGGTCAGTGACCATGCTGGGGCTTGCAGGAACTGCAATGACACTTTTGAGTGTTTCAGTAACTACCCCAAGTGCTTCAACCCGCCCCAGGCACCTGGCAGCTCCCCCCTGCGTGGTCCCCTGGCCATCCTGACTGACGGAGCTGCTTGCCAGCCGGGGCTGAGGAGGACAGTGCAGGTGATGGTGCTGGTCACAGGGAAGAGGTCAGGCCTGGGCACTGTGAATGTGGCGGGGGAAGCCCTGCCATCAGCCCTGGTGAAAGAGCTGCTCTGAGCCCGGCTGTGCCCGGCTCTGTCCTGCCAGCGCACCGCAGGGCAAACCTAAACATGACATTCCTCTCACCTACTTACCCAGCGGGTCCCCAGATGTTTTGTAGATGAAGTGACGTGAACATGTAAGACCAGCCCTGCATCCTGCTCTGGTTTGGCTCCTGCAGCTCTGAGCCTGGCCTTTGCACTTGCAAGAACAAGAACAAAAGCAGACCCCAAGTGCCTGAGATCTGCCCAGGGTGCAGCCCAGGGTAGTCTCTCCTGCTGTTTCCTCTCTGGGCCCTTGGCCTTGGTTTTTCCATCCTGGTGCTCTGATGACCAAGTAGGCACTTGGTTATCTTAAAAACTGTGCCTGGCAGGGCAGGCTAGGGGTCAGGAGGCCCTGAGGGGCATCTACTTTCAGTGCTGGCTCCTACAGCCCCCACAGCCACATCCTCTCCTGCTGGGGAGCAGGACTGTGTCACACAGCTACCTCACTTGGGATTATGAAGCACCTCCCTATAGCTCTCAGGGACTGCTCTCTGTGCCAGCTGTGCTACCCCTCCATTTGAATGAAACCCACCACTGTTGTGTGTTTAGAGCAAGGATTGGGGGTTACAATAATCCTGAAGTGACTAATGGCAGTCCCAGGTTGTGATCTCCAGGCAGGGAATGACAAATCTGTGGCTGAGCAACATCCTGGAGACGGCGCTGTGGCACAGGTGTCCCTGGCACAGGAACAACGGAGCAGCAGCTGCCAGGGCAACAGCATCCTGCAGGATTGAGTCGGCCCCTGGAGATCAGTGTGGGCAGCACACCCACGAGGAGGGGCTGGGACAAAAGGGACCAAGAAGCCGTGCCAAGGACCTGATGCAAAGCCACCCCCATAAGAGGCCCCCCAGCAGCTCCCCTGCCCCATCCCAGGCGTTCTGTCACACGAGGGGATCCCGTGGTGTCCGTGTGACCAGTCACCTTGTTCCAGAAGTTGTCCATTTCTAAAGTAAATTCATTCATGCAAAACTGGCATTTGGCTCCGTTCAGCTCTGTGTTGGCAGCCTCGCTCTGGGATGGATGGGAACAGGGATGGGGACAGGGATGGAGACGGGGATGGAGACGGGGATAGGGCATTGCTGCCTCGGCAGCTGCAGAGAGCGGCCAGGGCTGGAGCCTGGGAGGGCTTGGAGCCACATGCGAATGATCACAGGGACAGGGCACGGGGCAAAGAAACCTCCCCCTGCCCGTCAGCCGAGCCTTCCTCCTGGCGAGGGACGCAGCGACGGCGTGTCCGGCAGCAGCAGGACCCGCTGCACCCCCGGGCACCAGGGCTGGGCTGTGCCCTCGGGCTGCCCCTCGGCCATTCCCGGCTGTGTCTGCTGCTGCCCACCGAGAGGAGCCTCCAGAGAAGGATCGAGGGCTGATTTCCCACCGCAGGAAACGAGCACGAAGGGCTGCTGCCACCTCCTGGGGGCTCTCGCGGCGTGGCCACCCGGGAGGGACAAGGACCAAAGACTGACCCAGCCAGGCCGGGGACTGTGCTGGGCTCAGGGACAGGGCAGGTCCAGCTACCTCCGCTGGTTAAAAATACTGGGGTTCAGAGACTACCTAAAGCAGACAGGAAAAAAAAAAATCCTCAAATCCTCTCAGGTCCTTTATTACTCCCGGAAACCCCCAGAGCAGTGTCTGCATGTTCAGCTCGCTATGAGAACAATGCCCAACACTGAGAGCACTAATGATGGGAGTGATTTAATCTCCATTCCCGGACACTCCTGCTGACGGAAAGGGCAGAGACACTGCAACCATCCAGCAAACCCCAACCAGTTTAATGAGCTCCCCGCGCTGTGGCCAGGCCGAGCAGCAGGTCCGGGTACTCCTTCTGTGCTGGACTGGACCAAACCCCCGGGGCAGGGCACAGCTGTGGGTGTTTAACCACCTAGGAATGGGGCCGACAGCTGCCACCAACTACTTACCTGAGCACTAGAGACAAGCCCCTCCCTCCCTCCCAGGGCAGCGCCTGTGGTGGCTGGTGGGGGGTTGAGCCTGCAAGGAGGATGGAGGCTTCGCCCTCGAGGTTGAGGTAGGATCTGCACCAGCTGCTCGGTTGGGCAGGGTTTGGGAGGGGGTTCCTGGCTGTGAGAACCAATTTCTTTGGATTTGGTGCTGCTGAAGTGGGTGGGAAGGGGTCTGGGGGCTGCAGTGCTGTGTTGCTGCTCGGTGAGAGCCTGGTCCTGATGCAGGGAAGGAGCCAGGGCTGCCTTGGGGTGGGTTTGGTGTGTGGGGGCTGCACTACAGGCACTGTTTCCCACTCACTTGGGGGTCTGAGGGCACAGCAACACACTCCAAGGAGGCAGGAAAACAGTGTGTCCTAGAAAGGAAAAAAAGGGGAATAAGGTGACAGATAAGGAAAGTCAGCAAAACTATAAATGAATGTGAAAATCAGTGGTTGACATAGCAGCTGAAATTTCTTCCAATGGTTCTAAACCATGGACATTAATGTGTAGTTTGAGGAAAAATGAAGCCTTAACTCTAAGTTCTGTAAATGTAGTGATATTTTAGTGCAGTTGCTTTTTAAATAACTTCTCCCACCCCCCATTCCTTCAGTTTCTTTGCCTCAGATGATTTAATTTCTTCTGGCTGGGGTGGTTAATTGAATGTATAAACCCCTCCAGCTGGGGCTCTTGTCCGTTACCTTGGTGTAGTCCAGGGGCAGCGCTGGGAGGAGGACCAGCCTCCTCAGCAGCTCCCTGTTCTGGTAGGGCCCACAAAGCTTATCCATCTCCTTTTCAAATCTGAAGTGGGAGTGCCTTATGAAGGTCCTATAATAATGCCCTCAATAATGCCAGTGACCCCTTGCATCCAACCCTTCTGTACCTCCAAAACTAGCTGTTGCACAAAGGCAATGGTGCCTGTGGCCCTGTGCTGTCACCCACTCTTCCCGAAACCTGGGCAGCCTCAGCCTGTGCCACTGATCTTCAAACACAGCCCCACAGGTCCAAACCTCCTCTCAGGTGGGTGACCTCATCTGGGGGGCTGCACAGCCATGGGGGAAAAGGTGAAGAGTGTTTAACCCCAGCACAGCTTGGAGCCCTGCCCTGGCTTCCCAAAGGCTGAGCTCCTGAAGAGCAGGTAAGGACTGTTGTTCATGGCAGCTTTAGGGCTGGGCTCAAGAGCCCACCGGTGCTTTAGTGTTTAAAATAAATGAGCATCTCTTGCTGTGGTTGAGATAAAAAAAGTGTCTTCACCGGGATGAAAGGGAGGCAAGGGAGAGCCGGGCGGGTTCGCTCGCGTTGGGTGGGGGAGTCACAAGTAGCAGGGAGCTCAGACCCGGGCAGGTGGAACACAAACCAGACCCTGTGGCAATGCCCACTGTGACTGTCCCGCAGCTGTCTTGGGGGGCAGGGTGCCCCCAGCCAGGCTGCTCGGGGGGGTGTTTGCAGGGGACACACAGGAGTCCATCGCAGGCCCTGCTGTGCCTGAGTGAGCCCCAGGAGCTCTCCCTGGCCCCGTGTGGGCCGGCTGTGCGTGGCAGCTGGCACAGGGTGTCCCCCTGATGAGGGACATGGAGTGGGGGAAGGCAGGGCCACCCCATCCCTGCCTGGCACAGGGGCTGCTGTCAGTCTGGCCAGTCTGATGTGGCTTTAGCAGCCCCCAAAACCAAGCTGGGTGGCTCTGCAAAGGGCATCTGGGCTAGTGAGGAAACTGAGGCACAGAGCAGGCCTGCGAGCTGGCAGGGACCACACAGCAGAGTGAGTTTGCTGTTCTCTGGAGTAGTGGAGTGAGACCTGTTGGTTTGGAGAATGGGATGGGCTGGAAGAGGTGGAGGAATAACTTGTGTGAGCTGTTGGAGGCTGAGCTCTGGGTTCCCCTGCCCCTTCCAGGCATAGCTCCTGGGCCAGGAGGACCAGCCAGAGCTCACAGTCCAGCAGCACCGCAGGGCTCTGCAGTCACCAATGTCTATGTTCAACTTTGGGGGGTTCCGTAGTTAAGAGCATTAAAAAAAAATCAAGTTTTCTCTTGCACAGATTTGCAGATGAAACAAAGTTAGGATGGGGCAGTTACTGCTTGGACAAAGAGAATTAGAGTTTTATACTGGTCTGATAAATAGGAAATTATCTAAAGTAACTGCAAAGCAAGCCAACAGAGACAGATAATTTTTCTTTTCTAAGCATAATAAGTGAAGAACTCCAAACTGTGAAACGACTGACAGGAAAGCCAATGTATTAATAAATGAACATGAGAATGGGTCACTAAGGTAAAAACTTCTTTTTGCTCTAGAATAAGGAAGTCAGGCAGCTTTGTTCTCTCAGAACACGCACTTAATTCCAAGTTCAGACAAGTGTAATATTTTCTTCAATTTTGCAATAGCTGCTTTTAAATTAAACCATCCAAAATGTCTTCATTTTGGATGACCGCTCCAGCTCCAGCAGTTAATTGCTCGATTCCCTGTGGAATCCCTGTGGGATGTCCTGAGGAGCGGGCGCGGTGCCGCCGGCGGCCGCCAGGGGGCAGCAGCGCCCAGCGTACCTGGCGGCAGGTGCGGGGCTGGTCCCGCGGAACCCCCGCGATCCCACCGGGAAAACCACTGGGATCAGCGGGATTTGGGACTGCAGCGTGGCCCAGGCACAGCGCTAACCCCCGTGTAACAGCAGCTCCACCCATGTACCCCCGCCGGTGACAGGAGATGCTCCCAGGGGCCTTCCTCCCAACTCCAGGGCTTAGGGGCTCAAGCTGAGAAAGCCAGCAGGGCTGGTGGGTAACTAAAGAGTAATTCAGGCCACTGGGGTCTAGAAGGGTGACAAAAAAGCTCGATTTTCACACAGACCCTCCCAAGAAGAAAGCAAGCCCCGAGTGCTTTCACGCCCTGCTCAGACCCACCAGTGCATGTTCCAGCTCCAGGATGAGGCCCTTTGAACTGGCAGGGAAAGGGCAGCAGGAAAAACTGCTCAGACAACACAGGGTCAGGATTCTAAATACATTTCTTAACTTTTATTCTCCCAGCAGATAAGCAGTGGTTAAAAAACCTCAGTAGCAAAACCAGACCAAAAAAGTAAGTCTCACACTTTCAGAAACAAACATTTGCAAAAATTTGCATGTCAGATTTGGGTGCTGAACTACAATTCCTATCCCCACAGTGGATATGCAAATGACTAAGGAGGAATTTGGCAGTGAGAGCAAACTGCTGCATGTGTCACCATGGCAAATGTGCAACAAACACGTGTGCTCAGGTGTTGGCAATGCTGAGCAAACACAGGGCCGTGGAGAACAAACACAATGATGCCACAGATTCTGAAATAATGTAGGCAGAAGAGACAAATCTCCTTAACAAATGGGACAGCTTAAAGGAAGCTGTTTGGCACTTCCTGGCCGAGGCTGCTTCAGCCACATGCAATATTAACCTTCCTGTACTTAGATTAGGTTTTGTAGACTCTTCTTCCCCATGTACGTGCTGCTTTTGCTTCCACAAAAGTTTAAAAATTCCACTGGTGAATTCTGGAGTGTTAGGGACACTATACGAATTAGGAAATAGAAAAGCTGCTCTTTTTTAAGATTTGAAGCCAAAGTGCAGCAAGGAGCAACTGCCAATTACAGAAACCCAACTGCAACTGGCTTTAGCCAAGGAAAAGAAACTACACTTTGCAACACAGTTCTGCACTGTGTCATAGTACCCACACTCCCCTAAACCATGCTACAATCAGTACTGTGGATTAGATCCCTCAGTATAAAAACAAGAAATCCCATAAAACAGAAATCAAGACTTCCTTAAGTGATAAAACTATGTTTTCAGAGGTGCTTCCTTGTATGTGCAACATCTGCTTTTGTCAAGGTATGCATCTTCTCTGGGTTCATAATGTGCAAATCCCATAAATCACAGATTTATTCCAGTCAGATTCCCTTACTAGTGCTGAAAAAAAGTCACAGTATAAACTGTCAAGACTCTTCATGCTGTGAAGGAATATATATATTTGAAAGGTAAAGTGCAATTTCTTCTGTTTTGCAGAGCCGCTC